AAAAAAAAAAAAAAAAAAAAAAAAAAAAAAAAAAAGAATATATCAAGCACAGGGCGGTTATCAACAAATCGAAATGTCTCCAATTGAACCCAAAGATATGAACTATTATGAAGGACTTTTCAGATTTTTTAATCATTTATGATTTTTCAACTTTTGGCCCGTTTTCTTTGGGACAATTTCACAGACCCGATTCAACAACTAGAAATGGAACTCTGCTGAGTCAGCGGAGTTCCACCTTTTCACTGCTGGTCAGCGCAGTTCCACCTTTTTACTGTTGGTCAGCGCAGTTCTCTTTTCACTGTTGGTGCAACAGTAAGAAAATGCGCTGCGTGGAACTGCGCTGACTCTACCCAATGAGCGGCACGAAACCATCTCAAGACTCGAGTAGAGTCAGCGCAGTACCACCTGCACCAACAGTAAAAAAAGAAAAGAAAAGAAAAGAAAAGAACGAGAAAGAAAGTCAACGAAATGAGCTTAACTCAGAGAACAATCGGAAGATATACCCAACAACATTACCGATAAATATCAAACAGTAAAATATAGTAATATACCATACTTGCAAGCGGACGGACCGGACGATCGTCCGGTCCGGTCCGCTTTGCCGCGTGCGGCACCCTCCCCCCAGACCGGACCGGACCGGACGGGGCCGTTTTTTTTTTTTTGGGGGGGGGGTGGGGGGTAACTGGTCGTCGGGCGCACATTCGCGCGCCGCGCGGGTCCGGTCCGGCAGTCCACCGCACGTGCGGAACCGCCCGGACGGCGTCCGCTTGCAAGTATGTAATATACCAAAGAGAAACCAAAACTAACGACCGCTATGCATGTCGTGACCCGCAATTGGAAGATATACCCAACAACATTACCGATCAATATTAGATAGTAAAATATAGTAATATACCAAAGAGAAACCAAAACTAATGACCACTATGCATGTCGTGACCTGAAAATCCACTGCCCCACCCTAATACCGCATGATCCCAGACTCCCTACCTGAAGATACCAAAGTCAAATTATGCTATTCGGATATGGGACGCTGGGCCTGGCTCCCAGCACGTGCTGCTCCCCACGAATAGACTGGTGCATGTGTTTGAAAAAAAAAAAAAAAAAAAAAAAAGTCTGTCCTTAAGGAATGCTCCAAACTTCAGAAAAACAAAAAGCGAAAAAGTCTCAAGAAGCCACCATGTCTGCACACTCTAGTCCTCAAAATCACTTGCAAATCTCTCTCTCTCTCTCTCTCTCTCTCTCTCTCTCTCTCTCTCTCTCTCTCTCTCTCTCCTGGTTTCCAGAAGGTGTTGCGCCCAACCAACAGATCGGAGTTGGCGCTAGAGCACCTGGATCGCCGTGGTGCTCTTACCACCCAGGGACAGAAGGACGCACGGGGACACTGGAAAACAAAAAAAAAAAAAAAAAAAAAAAAAAAAGGGACTTCAGGGCAGGACGGCACCAGGGCTGAGCAGTAAGAATCCACACTTATCTTTCAATTTGGTAATGGGTCAACCCGGGACATCCCAACCCTAGGACCCTGTCTCAATTTGGAGATGGGACGGTGTCAATCAACATGCCTTGGACACAGGGTCCTAGGAACATGCAGCCACACACGCACGATCCAGCTGAGTTGGTACAGATCACATGATCCAGCATGAGAAACATTTTGCACTAGGAGTGCCCGGGACCCCTCCCCAGACCCTGCCCGGGCCGGTACCTGAGCGACCCCCCAGCTGGACCGCCCAATTCAGCAGTGATGACTTACGTCTTTTCTTTTTCTTTTCTTTGTTTTCTCTTTTTACTAGTTTTTAATGTGGTGTACTATGGTCCAAACTTGCCGACCAGAGGCCCAACGATGACCATTCCTTCGGTGAGAATGTCCTGAATCAAGAATGCAAGTCTAATAGACATATAATCAAGGGATGTGGCAGAACTACAGGCAGCCATTCTGCTCCTGTGTTGTCTCACCTTGGAGCTGTTGGAAACAGCGCAGCTTCCATTTAGCTCACTTTCAACATTGACAATGTGCACAGTGCGACTTAACGTTGAATAAACCTGAAAAATTGCACAAGGCCGAACATCAAAAAGGACATTTATGAGAGGGAAATTTAAAAAAAAACTCCAAAAAACTTAAAAAACGGAGCGTAAGACGGTAAGGGCACAGACTTGTCATTTTTTTGTGACTTGCCGTTGAATTAACCTGGAGCGGGGGAACACAGAACACAATAGCAGTCGCTTGGAATCGTGTACGGATCACCTGTCCATGAGTGAAATCAGACTCGCTTTCTTTTTTTTTTCTTTTTTCTTTTTTTTTAACTCTTCTTTACATATACATGCAAAGTTGCAAACAGATGGCAATTCACACTGGCGCTGTGTGGCCACACAAAGCTCAGAGATAATCAAGCCAAGAACAGTGAACACAGTTCAGATACAAACTCGCTTCCAACCCGCTATGGTGCCTGAGCGCCCAAACATCCTCTGTCCGATACTGTGTTCTCCCAACTGTTCACATGTACTCAACTCCGGATCTCCCTGGATATCCCACTCGCGTACACTCCGTAACACTTACACACCCGCACACTCTGACTAACACCTATCGCTAGCTGTGGCAGCTATGGCCGCCAACTCCCACCAACTACAAGCAGCTATGGCTGCGCTAACTCCACCTCAGCCCACTTCGACTTCAGGCCTCTGCAGACCACGTCGCACAAGACACTTAGAGCAGCGCTTCCGCATGGCTTACGCAGGAATGAATGAATGCCTGGACGCTGCCTCTTGATTTATACTTCTGTAAGTCGCTGGTCTGCCCTTTCCCGCCGGGCCCATGGTGCACACAGTCCCTCATGGTACTTGCTTTCTGTACAAAGTGAGACTGGGACTGGGTACCGCTTAGTCAGCGAAGTTGGACTCACCACTTGACCACTTGCCTCTGGTCTGCTGTGTATAACGTGAGAAGAAACTTGGAAGGCCACTTCCGGACCTTCCAGAAGTTTGTGGATTTGGCCTTTCAGAACTGTAGCAGCTACGACCTTGACCTTTCAGGACTGTAGCAGCTACGACCTTGACCTTTCAGAGTTGCTACAGCTACGGACTCTACACAACTATGACCCCCTACGACCTTGACCTTTCAGAGTTGCTACAGCTNGTTGCTACAGCTACGGACTCTACACAACTATGACCCCCTACGACCTTGACCTTTCAGGACTGTGGCAGCTACGACCTTGACCTTTCAGAGTTGCTCCAGCTACGGATTCTACACAACTATGACCCCCTCGTCGACAGATCTACAGATCGAACCCCTACTTCTACACAGCCCTACGACAAGCAACAGTCAACTACCCAAACACAGATCATGGGTTCGAACTTCAAACACACAGGGAACGACTTGATACTGCACACGGGTAAGGTGAGGTCTAGGGATCGAGCCCTGGGATCTGCATCGGTTACCGCAAAGGTGAAAAACCGTTTCAATGAGCCAGAATGCTGGTGACCCCGTACGCAACCATCAGTCACACTTACGGTCAAACATTCACTCACATTTTTTCCTCTTTTTTTTTCCGGTCAAATGCTTTCTTTTACTTCTTTTTTCTTCTTTTTTTTTTGGCCAAACAGACCGACTGTCCAATGTTTGATCACACATTCGATCATTGCATTTTTGTCCAAAATTCGGTAAAACTTACAGTCAGACATCCACTGCAATATATTCCATCAAACACTCGAGCATGCATTTCACCAAATATTCAAGAATCAGACACGGTGAACAGTTGAACCGAGCAACGGCCTACCAGGTCACGGAATCTGGTATGTGAAACCAAGAAAAACTACCAGCCCTGGCCTGCCCAGCATGGAACAACAGGCCGACCAGGTCACGAAACCCAGATCGCATATGGATTCGGTTTTGGCGGTGCTTCTATGTATGGAGTCTATGGACCCCTCCCTGCTGAGTGTGCGAGACGAGTCCTTTGTCACATTGTCACATGATCAAGCGCGTCAGCATCTGATTGAAGTTTTCCACTGTGTCACATTTTATCTCCTGCCCATGTTGACCCCCCTTTGAAACTTTGCATTGCCGACAGTTCACCCAGCCATATGAATTAGAGAGAGGGAGAAAGGGGGGGGGGGGGGGGGGGGGGGGAGAGAGAGAGAGAGAGAGAGAGAGAGAGAGAGAGAGAGAGAGAGAGAGA